CACTAGTTTTAAAAGCTAGTTATTGGTCACTACATGTTGATAAATGTCCGCTAAAAAAAAATGTCCGTGTGGTGACATATTAAGAATACGAAGCGTCATCACCCCTATTCATCCCGTGGGTGTCGTAAGAGTCGACTAATTGAGCAAACTATGCAGGACAATAGCACTGCAAAGAGAAGGAAAACTTGAAACAAACCCTAAACCAACCCGTCCGGCCAACGTGGTATAGTAAGCCAAAACCTCCTTCCTAAGGAGAAGCCAATGTCTAGCAGTGAACTATTATAGGCTGTTGATAATGTTGGTAAAAATCGAATGTATCCAACATTCAGACAAATACTACGATGACCTTCAACTCTACAAGACAAAAGCGTACTCCTTCCCCAAAGGTCATCAATGCACTTGTGACTCCTGGAGTTGCAGGCGTTCATGCTCAGCGGTAGTCACTTTTCTTTAGGTGACCCGCCTGCTCCCTTAAAAAAAATTTAGAAGAGAAGGCGATTTACGTGTCGAAATTTCAGCTCAATCAGAGCTTTTTGAGTTTCTGAAGTTACACAAACCAACATGACGTTTATATATATATATGGGAGAGTAACCAATATTGAAGCGGTGCTTAATTTGGACCACTTCTGTATTTCTACTAAAATGGCTTTATATTTTTACACTAGCAACACTTTTAATACTCCGCCATTTTGTAGGGCTCCTTTTTGTGCCAATATACAATACAAAATAGTGCCATATTGGTAGAAATACGTAAGTAGTCCAATAAGCGCCGATTCAATATTGGTTACTCTCCCATATATATATATATATATATATATATAGATCATTTACTACTACTTATTTAAAGCTTTAAGTTACATTTATACCTCCTTCGTTCATTTAAAAACAATATTTAAAGGCTACGTTGGTAGCCCTATAGAATGTAAAATGCCAGTTGTCTTTATAAAGTAATAAATTAGGCACATAAAGTACCTAATCATGGAAATCAATGGAAAAATGTAAACGGAAAATATTTTCGTTGTCGTAGCGTTCCAGAATAGGCATGTATCTCGTATGTAAAAAACTTCGGTTTGCTTTTTACGACTTTTTGTCAGCCATATTATTTAATTGGATTCCTTAAATTTCTTATAGTTACGTAAGACTGAAAATAAAATGGAACCGTAGGTAAAGCGGTTCTCATTGTTGTCCGTTAACCTGTTTACCAGTTCTCTAGATTTTTTTACAGCCTCACACACTTTTTTACAGCCTGCCTACAGGCCTCCCTCAGAGTAAAAAAGTTGATAAATCACAAAAAAATAGTTTAGTCCCGTCAAACAACGTTTCGTATTCTAAAAACGTAGTACTTGACGGTACTTACTACCTACTACACCAACTTTTAATAATTTTTAGTTCAGTTTAGAGGGTTTCAAGCAACTGAATTAGCACCAATATCTACAAATATCTATTTCATCAAGTATAAAAAAAAATGTGTTGTACAAACAAAATAAAGCCCGGTAAGGCATATCTAATTTATCAAGTTTTATTATAAAAAAATGTGTTTTACAAAAAAAACAAAGCCGGGGAAGCCATTATATAGTTTTCGTTGAAACGCCGCTGTAATTACATATGCCATTACTGATGGTAAACCTCTCAAAACTAATGTGCTTCGTATGCAGAATAGAGGGTGTGTCAAGTACAAGGAAATAACATAGGAATTTCACGTTTCACGACTGATATAGTTGAATACACATACTTATATGCGTAAACTATATATGGTTTTTAAATTTATTTACATGTGAACATAGTCTGGAAGAATAAATACACTAAGAATAATGCTCATTTTGAGAATACGTGTTTAGAAGATAATTATAATCCATAATGTATTTATTTATCTATTCAGAATATTTGCCATATTCTATAGGTTTACCGTTTGTCAGATTTCTGAATTAGAAGTATGCATCTCATTTTACTTATTAGTAGGTATTATTGATTAATTTGGGCTAATAAGGCTTATCAGGATTTTTACTAGCACAGCGTATGTCGCTGACTAAACTTATTCCTTAATGTTCAACCAAACAAACTTTTCAACTTTTTAATATTATTATTATTAGTGTAGATTGGGTATATTTACGTATACCTGTTAGCAAACTATATACGAAGCTTACATAAGTACCAATTAGAAGGTAGTGTTAGATCATTAAAATAATTATAACAAGTCACGCTTACGTTGAACTTAATCACTGTTAAAAGGGTTAATCCAACCCCTTTTGTTTATAACCTGCGTTTTAAAGTTCACAAGAGATTGACTTACAGCGAGTTGATGACTAATTACCTTTATTTTTAAACTAAATGTCAAAGTAAACTTGAGCCAAAACCTAGATTTACAGATTCATTTCGTTAATTAATCTAAGTCTTCTTAATTTAAAACTATCCAAAACATATACCCGCACCGCTTTTCGTAAAACTAGACATACGAGTAGTCAATACCTCCAAACTCAAAAATATCTGGTGTAAAATTGACTGTCCCACATACAGGGCTAACCTCCTATTGGTTTACTTTACATTTAGATACGGTGGCAAATTGAAAATGTATTACGTTACGCTACTCATCCAGTAGATAAAGTATGTGGTGGACTATACTATTTATAAACTCGTTTGAAAAGCGAATTTGAAAGCGCTGCCTTAGTGAGTTCGATGCCCGGACCAGGCAAAAATTTATAGGGTTTTTCTGAGAGAAAAAATAGCCTAAGTTACTCCTTATACAGACAGCTTATATCCTTATACAGACTTGGTAGTAAAATATTATTAAAATAGGTCCAGCCGTTTTGAAGATTACCCGGAACCAACAGACAGACAGCTGTGATAGCTGCCCTAATTCTTACATGACAAATCTGAAAACAACCTCTTTCTTTTATTACACTATTTTATAACCATGTGTGTGTAATTAAAAACTATGCGATATAACTTGTTATTGTCGAGTTATTCTATCTTATGTCAAACGTAATTATCGTTATCAACTTCTTGTCCTTTTTTTTTCAATTTAATTTTGAAGTCAGTTGTGATACTGGTTTCTTTTATAGCCGACGTTTACCTTCCATGAGAAAATTATTATCGTTTTCAAAGGATGAGAATAACAGGTAGGATAAGAGGGTTTGAGTAAGAGATTTCGCAGGTATCGGATGAGAAACAGGACTGAAACTGCTACCGGTCGGAATCGAACCGAATAAAACTTCACGGTATGTGCCATCCTGCGCCTTAAATAGAAGGGATTTGCGAACAGCTTTTATTAGGACATCCAGACACCCGTATGTTCGTCTTGTGACTGCAATGGTCAGAAAGATAAAGAACTCAAGTGGCCTATAATAATAATAATTTATAGTATATATAATATTTTAGAATCAAGGTGAACATGTTTCTAGGTATCATAAACATCACATTATTTCATTGAACTCTGGTACCCAAGGTAAGATTAAACTTGTGGCATGGGTAACCAGGGCTCTCGCATAAACATATACAAAACAAGCAAAACACTATCTTAGCGACTTGTTGTTACAAACATTAGTGCATTTTAAATTAAACTATTTCACTATCACAAAATAGGTTAGGATGTGTGCGTGTGTGTGTATTATGCATATAGGCACTGTTTCATATACGAAGCATGTAATATTTTCTAAATTACACAAATAACTTTCTTCGAAATACGCTAATACGATTAATTTATTAATAGAGGTATTCCATTAGAAAAATTGAAAGACCTGCAATATGATCATTAATTTCAACTCAACGAGGCGCATATCGTTTTCGATGTAATCTTATAAATTGCACCGCACCCCGGGCTTGCTATTTATCAGCACGAAAGTTCTAGAAAGCACCCAGACAATTATTACTTGAAGACTTTTCACAATAATTATTGTTTAACTTGTTGGAAACTCACATTGACGAGTTTATTAAATCAAATTAAATATTTATATTTTAATATTATTCGTATATTATCATATATTATTCGTACATTCTACCAAGGCAAGTAAATGTGGAAATTAAAGGTGTTAATACATTAAGTATTAGAGAATTCTTGTATAAAATTATAGCGATGCGAAGGAAAACAAATAATTTAAGCAACAAAAATAACAGCAATGGTACCTGCAACCAATACCTGCTCGTTTTGATGACGCAGTGAAAAATCCCTTTGGATCTCCGGCTACCCCGGAACCAGAGGATGTGGTATTTTCACTAAAAACCATCCTGACGGCCAGCCTCAGACGCTTTACTCTGAGGATGACCCGGACCATGTGATTTCGAGGCCCCATCTTAGAGCACTGTTCTTAGCGAAAACGCTAAGAACAAGCATTTAGTGTAGATGGAGAAATTCACAACACTACATTAGTAACATATGAACCGTCCAATTAAAAACTGATTCAAACAGACATCCTCATCACCCATCGTGACCAGTCTGTTGGTTTCGTTGTTATTGAACTTGATTGTGATTGAGTGACGAGCGGTTAGCGTTCAGTGATGAGTGTTGTTGCGTCTGGACGTACCTAATCTATCTAGGATATGTGTCGTTCAGTAGTCTAGTTACCATAATATAGGGTCTGCCTACTCTCGGATCTCTCGCATCAAATTATTACTATTATAACATACTTTTGTTAAACAATATCAGTCTGGTATTTCAAATGGGCAGTCTCTTTGATCCGTGTGTTACCACACGGAGTAAGAATACGGAGTGTCACCACCCTGTTCATCCCGTGGGTGTCGTAAGAATCGACTAAGTGAGCAAACTATGCAGGACAACAGCACTTCAAAGAGAAGGAAAACTTGAAACAAACCCTATAACGACCTGTCTGGCCAGCGTGGAATAGTAGGCCAAAACCTCCTTTTTAAGGAGAGGCCTATGTCCAGCAGTGGACTATTAAAGGCTGTTGATGATGATGATGATGAGTCTTATTTGACTTTTTTTGACTTTTTCATATTATAAAAACTTGAAATTTATTTATATATATGTTTTCTTACAGGCAACAGGCATGACAACCCTGATGTATGCGGTGAAGGACAACCGCACATCGTTCGTGGAAAGACTGATAGAGCTTGGTTCCGATGTTGGCGCCAGGAATAATGTAAGTCTTCTCTCTATACCTACATATTTTCTATGAATATGAAAATGTTAATAGGTAGTAGTAAATGATATATATATATATACGTACTAGCTGACCCGGCAAACGTTGTTTGCGATATACCTTCATTATTTCTAGGAACCATTGAAAAAAAATTAAGGGTGGGTCACCCTTGTCTTTTAGGGGTATGAAAAATAGATATTGGACGATAGTCAGACCTATCCGATGTGCACACAAAATTTCATAAAAATCGGTCCAGCCGTTTCGGAGGAGTATGGTAACTAACATTGTGTATATAGGTATATGTATATATATATATATATGTAGTGCGTATTATTGTATATATATACGTAATGTTATAACGTTATGTTCGTTTGTGTACGCTTCAAAAACTCAAAAAGCTTTTCACTGATTGAGCTCAACTTTTGACACGATATACAAACCGTTTCAAAGATTGTTTTCTGTTTCCATTTTTAGCTTTAGTTTTGTTCCTTATTTCCTTTCAATGCAACCACAATGTCCCACAGGTATTATTGTACAGAAGTTTTAATATACATTACATAAATATATAACAATTAACATGGTCAGCTAATGCATTAAACTTACTATCAAAAGTCAGAATTCAAGCATTAATAAGAAAACAATCCGAATTTATACTTTAATTTTACAGTCCTCCTGAAATGCAGGAAATGTAGGTAATACACAAAGCATTTTATTCTAAATTATGAGATGCCGAAACGGGTACTTTATCGTCTAGCCCCTTTTTAAGAAGATAAATAAATATTAAATAAATAAATACTAAAACACAAATTGAGACATTTCGAGGCTATCTTTCGTTTATTTTTTCGCGTTTGCTTAAACAATAAGCGTATTTATAGTAATTAATTTGATGAATATAAAACTATTTTTGTAAAATGATTGTACCTTTCTGTGATGCAAAGATGTGTTTGACAGATATTCCATTGAAGTTCATGAGATAAATGACCCAATAAATATATGTTACAAAAGTTATCCGATTTAGATGCACTAAATATACATACACATAACTTTTACGTACTATATAATATCATAAATAGAAATATATATTAAATATACGCATACACACATACCTACTGTTTACGTAAAGAATTCTGAGAACTCCTGAATCTAGTAAAACACACAGTACGAATATTATATTTCCAAAATTTACTTATTTCTTAAATACATTATATGTTTGTACAGTTGCTTGACAGATAAAAACTGAAAACATTGTAATGAATCATAATATTTAGTTTCTGAAAATTATTGTATTTTGGTTTAAATCATTTCTTCTCAAAAAGACACTACAAAAACTACTTGCATGAGAAAATAAAATAACATTTTGGTTAAATTATTAAGTACCGGTCACCAAAACAATAACTGAAATTATAAAGTTGCTTTTGTGTGTGTTGATCTATGACTTTAGAGTCTACATAAAAGACGATTTCAAACAATTAAAAAAATATATGAAATAAAGAGAGTTTGAGTTTATAAAATAACTGAGTTATAACAATGAAGACTCAATATTGTAGTTAAAAAGTAAAGTAATCCGTACAATTAAACACAAATTAATTAGTATGCAGTACAAACTAGGTACACGCTCAACAGATGATATTATAAGTAAAAAATAATCAATTTTTTTTTTTGGTATATAAATAACTATATGGGGTGAACTAGAAGACGGGTCACCAGATGGTAAGCAACTACCGCTACTCAAAAGTCACAAGTGCGTTGCCGCCCTTGGAGTGCCTCCCGCTCGAGTCAGCGGGAGGGGGGATTTGTGCGCCGGTAACCTCACTCACTCAGTGAAAAGCAACAAAAGAATTGATGAACACCAGTTTTCGTTGAGGCCGTGGTATCACTCTGGTCGAGCCTGCCCATTCGTGCCAAATCTTGGCTCTCCCACTGTTAAAACACTTACAATATCATTGCGCTCAACACTTTTATTTTCACCCAGATTATTGTTTTTTTTTCTAGAATGTACTAAGATAGTTGAGATCCAAAAACGCTAAACGAGCTTACACTTTTTATATCTGACGGTAAGTTATTATAAATATGTGCTCCTTCATAATTGATATTTTTTTCGCGTAACTTGTACGAATTCTTGTAAATGAAGTAAGTTAGGTTGACGCCTGCTACGTTTAGATACCTCCAAAATTTTGGTAAATGATTAGTTAGTTTTAATTTTTGTATCTTAGATTTTCCTTATCAGCCTACAAATCTCATACATATTCATCAACTTAGTTTCTTCAAAAATTTATAAGTAGGTGGTAAATATGGACAAGCAGTGTTAAGTAAGTTGGCTGGCAGGAGCTGGAAGCGAGAAACCCAAAATTGATCCAAGTGGCATGCAATGGGAGAAGCCTATGTCCAGCAGTGGACTGCGAAAAGCTGATGATGAAGTATGGATATCGAAATAATATCTTTACGATCTTGTTTTGTACTCTTTGTAATTTCGTTTCCCCTGAATTGCCTCAAATTTCTATTAAGTAAAGTAAATGTGATTTGATTAGACAAGGTTAGGTACAAAATAACTTGTGTTGTACACTGATCCAGTGACGAAAGTTTATCTACACAAATAAATAAAATTGAAGTGTCTTTTTGTAATATAATGATTTTTTTCATGCTCATTCGTTTATTTGCAAGATACATATGCCTAAAAACCAGTTTAAATAAGTTTTGTCTATCGATTTATCTGTCTGTCGGTTTTTTTCCGTGTAATCTTCAATACGCTTGACCGATTTTGTTAATATTTTACCACCAGGTAGCTGTCTATATAATTAGGCAATTTTTTTCAACAGAAAACCCCATCAAATTTTACGTGGTCCAGGTATCGAATCCACTAAGGCAGCGCTTTCGAATTCCACACGGACGAAGTCGCGGGCACCAGCTAGTCTTTAATAAAATCTTTAATAAATTCCAGTTAAAGTAGTTTTCTATTCTTAAGCCAAGATTTTTTCACAGTGTTTTTGTTGTAAAGGGATGTTATTAATAGACATTGGTTCATGATCCGGCATCCTTTATTTTTAGCTTTAAATATTAAGTAACATGTTTTTGAAATTTTTATTTTGCCTTAAACTATTTTTTTCTTATTTGTTTTTATTATACCATTTATAGTTCAAACATCACTAGATATATTGCGCTTTATATAGCTAATATATGAATTTTCAGATTTGTCGTGAAGTAAGAAAGTAGGAATATTCAAGTTTAACTCTTTAGTCACACACACGTACACAAGTCTTCTTGTGTACTTGTTTACAACAAAACAAAAGCATTTTGCATAATTCATACTTATATTGCATATTGTTTTCATCTACTTCTTTTAATCTCATAATTAAGGCCATTATAAAATGTTGAGTGAAGTGATTGTGCAGTTGTAATCAACGGCATGTTAAAGGTACGTCAACAATGCAAACTGGAATGAAAGGGTAATTTCCCATAAAGCGTGTCGAGCTGACGACATAGAGGCCAATCTCCACATGTAGCTATAGCAGCACTTGCTAACATATATTATATACTAACTAGCTGACCCGGCAAACGTTGTTTTGCTTTGATTTCTAGGAAATTTTGAAAAAAAATATATTTAGGGATGGGTCACCCTTGTCATTTAGGGGTATGAAAAATAGATGTTGGCCGATTCTCGGACCTACTCGATGTGCACACAAAATTTTATAAAAATCAGTCCAGCCGTTTCGGAGGAGTATGATACTAACATTGTGACACGAGAATTTTATATATAAGATAATTTGCGTACCGCTTTTCGTAAAACTAGAAATAGCCCATACCTCCAAACTTAAAAATATCTGGTGTAAAATTTATTGTCCCACATACAGGGATAACGTCTTATTGGTTTACTTAACATTTAGATACGGTGGCAAATTGAAAATGTATTACGTTGCGCTACTCATCCAGTAGATAAAGTATGTGGTGGACTATACTATAAATAAACTTACTAGCTGGTGCCCGCGATTTCGTTTGAAAAGCGAATTTGAAAAGCGCTGAGTGAGTTCGATTCGGTCGCACCGGTCAAAATTTTAAAGGGTTTTTGTGAGAGGGAAAATAGCCTAAGTTACTCCTTACATAGATAGCTAACTGGTAGTAAAATATTAAAACCAAAATCGGTCCAGCCGTTTAGAAGATTACCTGGCACAAACAGACAGACAGACTTTTTAAACTGGTTTTTAGGCATGGGTATCGTGCAAATAACCGTTTAAACATGAAAAAAACCTATTATTTTGACATTATAAACAGAAACTTCAATTTTATTTATTTGTATAGACTTATTTATTTGGCAGTGGCACTGCCCGCTTGGATGTCGGTTATCACGGTAAAAACGAGTAACATTACAATTTTCAAACGCTCATAACCATTGCTAACTAAAATACAGACATACCCTTTTTCATTTGGTTACAAAAATTATGTAACGTAAATAGAAAAATGATGTGGAAAAAGGTGGCTGTACTGTAACTCTTTCTGTTTATGGCTCAGTGATATGATTTAAAATCTAATAAAATTCTTAAAACATAAATTAATTCTTAAATCAGGAATTACGAAACATATTAAAATATTCTTGAAGTCGTTTCAACGATTAACATTACCAATTTATAACATATGTATTTAGCTAACATGCCTACCTTCACAGATTGCCTGATAACCCCCACAGCCGCAATTTATGTCCATAACCGGTTATAGGTCAGTGTAAGGTTAATAAGAAAATATTGAAGAAAGTGCATTATGCAGTGGTTTACACGCTTGGAGTAAAAAATTAAGGTAGGTTCGATAAAGAGTTGAATAAATGTTTCCGTAACTGGTATTCAAAAGTTTGCCTAAACAATTACATAATATTTGGGCAAATTTATAAGATAGCATGATTGCTCGGGACCCTCCTGTTCGGGACCCCTGGCTACCCCGGACGTCTGGAGCAGGCAATCGGCCACGCCGATTGCCTCCTCGATCTGGTCCACGGGGTTGGCGGTTTTGCCTCG